ATCCTAACAAAAGAGGTAAGTACATTTGAAGTTGTAAGTTCTGGTTTACATTTCTGTGTTCCTACCTACGAACTAGATGATTTGAAGTAAGTCATTTATCTGTCAAAATCTGGCAATGATTTCATAACCAGTTATATTATTCCCATTTATAATTTAAAATATTATAGACATAGGCAAGTTATGAGATGTCAAGTGAAAATGCTTTTAAAATTCTGATTTCTTCCAAACTTCTAAAATTACCAACAATTTAATAAACTCTGTTCCAAGCTAGCATGCATAGTTGTTTTTCCAAACGACTGAGACTTGTTTATTTTAAAAACACATTCAAATACATCAGTTGCAATTTAAACAAAATATGCAGACTGCTGTTTCCTCATTAAAAGATAATTTTTTCCTTGCTTATTTTATTCTGAGAGTACAGGCTCATAACAATGGCATTGACATAATCTGTTAAAATATTTCATTTCAGAAAACTTTGCTCTATCTTCCTCCTCAGGGCGTCTTTTACATCTTTATTTCTTAAGCTATAGATTAAGGGGTTCAACATTGGAATCACCACAGTATCGAACACTGACACTACTTTATCCCATTCCAGGGCATAGCTAGTGCTTGGTCGGGAGTAAATAAAGAGAATTGTACCATAGTACAAGGTGACAGCTGTCAGGTGAGATCCACAAGTGGAAAAGGCCTTGAGGCGGCCCTGGGTAGAGCGGATCTTCAAGATGGTGACAATGATGAAGAAGTAGGAAGCAAAGATAAGAGTGGTGGGAGTGATGACATTGGAGGCGAGTATAAAGTACATCACAGCCTGGTAGCTCTCTTTCACATCACACGCCAACTTTACAAGTGGAGGCAGATCACAGAAAAAATCATCAATGACATTGCCACAGAAGCTCAGGGTGAATGTCTCACTGGTGATGATGGTTGAGTTTATAAAGCCACCAAGGTATGAAGCTGCAACAAGACTGGCACACAGTCTTGGGGACATAACCTGGGAATAAAGCAGAGGGTTGGCAATGGCCACATACCGGTCATAGGCCATGGCGGCCAGCAGGTAACACTCACTATAAGCCAGTCCAGCAGAGAAAAAGAACTGAGCCAGGCAGCAAGCAAAGGAGATGCTTTTGTCATCTGAGATACAGGTCATCAGGATTTTGGGGGTATAGACAGAAGAATACCAGAGATCCAGAAATGACAGGTTTCCAATGAAGAAATACATAGGAGTGTGAAGTCGAGAATCAGCACAAATTAGGGAAACCAGGGTGATGTTCCCTAAGAGACTGAAGACATAAATGAGGAGGAAAATGAAAAAGAGCCCTCGCTGTAACCTCAAGTCTGCTGTGAACCCTAAAAAGATGAACTCCTTCACTTCGGTGAAATTTTTCTCATCCATTGATTTCAAGTTTCTATTATCTCGTTCTGTGAAAAGATTAATATACATGTCATGACTTAAGATATCACTACATGTTTTCTCCATCATTTGTCATTCTAGATAATTGAAAAATCTGACTTATTCATTTATGTAGCTCATAGTGAGATGTGTTATGTGAAACTGGGTATCATTCCTTTTGGATGGCTGAGAAATCAGATCTAAGCTACCTTGAGAGAACAGCTATTAGGTATATAACGTAGTGTACATCACCTTATTCTTTCCATCTAATTTTTCCTCTTTTTGGGGAGAGGTTGACTTGTATATCTTCTCTTCGGGTTTCCCTTCAGCGTGCTTAGGGACCATGTGGAGTATTTGAAAAAGAAAGTCTTAAAAAATGCTTTGATTTCTCTTCAGTGCTTTGAATTCATTTGCCTTTTTCCCAGAGAATTACATGGAAAAGCATAATCTTATTTTAATTATATTTTGGAATATCATTGGAAATACATTAAACTATAATTTCTTTGAAGGAAATAATTACATTTCATTTGAATATTTATCCATGAAACGTAAATATTATCCATGAAGCCTCCTGTATAACACTCAAATGTGTCCTAAGTGAAATGCCACTATAAATCACTGGATAATGGTATCCGTAAAGTGGGTTGAATTTCCTATAGAATTAATAGTTTTTAAAAAACTGCCTAAAACGAATGGTTTGCAGAAGTACAGTAGACTCAATAATGGCCCACAAAGATATTCCAGTTCTAATACCTGGAACCTGTGAATGTTACTTTACATGGGAAAAGAGTCTTTGCATGTGTTATTAAGTTAAAAATCTTGAGATGGGGATATTACCAGAGTGGACCCTAAACGCAATCACAAGTATCCTTATAGGAGNGGAATATCATTGGAAATACATTAAACTATAATTTCTTTGAAGGAAATAATTACATTTCATTCAAATTTTTATCCACAAAACCTAAAATACAGGTTTGCATAAAGCACAAAATATGTGACTTGAATAAAAAACAGATTTTCTTACATAGTAGGAATTTGCAAGGACAGCCTCCTGTATAACACTCAAGTGTGTCCTAAAGTGAAACGCCACTATAAATTATTGGATAATGGCATCCGTAAAGTGGGTTGAATTTCCTATAGAATTAATAGTTTTTTTT